CTTCAATTATTGAATTGAATTGAATGGAATTGAATTGAATTTAATTGATTGAAAGGTTTGTTTTAATATAGATAGGAACATTAATTATAATTACATTACAGGAGAAAAGCGATTCGAACCCTTAACCTATGGTTTTGGAGACCATTGTTCTACCATTGGAACTATTCAAAATCGACTTGGTCCGTTTTAAGTGTCATTTGGGCCGGACCCCACTAATTGGTCCATTGCGGTCGCGTCGGTCCAGTCCAACGAGGAAGATCAGGTCTCCAGGGGATCGTACTGTCGCGCCGTTTTTCCCTCGGTTTCGGCCCAGGGGAAGTCTAAACGAAGTGCTAGGGTCCAGTTTGACCATGACTGTGGACGCAATTTTGACGCAGCGTGGGAGTTGACCGCGGCGAGTTAATTTTCGCTGCTGCGCCGCGTCATCTTCCGACAACCATACGAAACCCCATTCCTGGCGTCCTCGCCAGGTTCAAGCCACTATAAAGGCCTAATAGCTGACTCATTCTCGCCATTCGCACTCGAACTCATATCGTCGAGTGTGCGGCGCTATTACGTTCTTGCTATTACCGCTGCCTTCATCGTTCTCGACTTGCTTGCGTTCTTATCGCACTAGCGCTCATCGTCGCGCAGCGCTTATCGACGCGCAACTAATTAGTTTTGCTATGGCGCCAAAGACGTGAGGCTCTGGCTCTGAACGTGGGAGAGGAGGTCGACAGGGGAAGGCGCCAGATCGACTGATCGATCTGACGTACGAAGGGGAGAGATGCGAAGAGGAGGAGGAGGAGGTGAGATGGGGAGGAACGCGCTTGTGCCATCGCTCAGAGGATTGGCGCGAGCGCACGCCGTCGCCTAGGTCTATGATGTACTATGCGTATGAATACGAGCAGCGCTACGGCTCTCTGCCTCCACGTTTCGATCCACCCTTTCGATCATACCCTTCACCATACCACCCTTCTTCCTCTACTCAACCATCTCCTCGCCAGCTCACCGTCCTGCCACAGCCGCCTCGTCTTGCACCACCGCCGTTGCCACGCACACTAGAACCGTCCGTCGCCCACCAGGCTGCGCCACCCAACTATCGCTTGTGCCTCGTACTTGCGTTGTTCTTGATATGCCAACTTGAGCTAAGCGGCCTTGTATGCTATCTGATATATAGGGGCATTATATAAACTATATCCCCAATCATCAGGGTGCTCGCCCGCTAGGGCTTGAGTGCTCACTCAATAAGGCATGGACCACTGGTCCAAGCCACCATCAAAATCAAGAAGGAATTAACCTTATTAGACCTGCGTGGTGCAGTCACCGCACGCAAGTATCATGACTACTCATGCAGACTAATCATACTATCAATCCCGTTCCCTTGCATCACTGAATCAGCCTCAATCTCAAGTCAAACCTTTCATTAGGTTTGACCTCATGCATCATCATGATCGATCCTCAATCTTAGACCTGACCCCATCGCTAGGTCTGATCTAGGAGTCCAAGTCTCAATCCTGGCCTGCACATCTCATCATCATTGGATCAGTCCATCTCATCCATACTGCCCATCAGTACAGCACAATCCTCATCGATATTTCAGCCACGGGCGACTATGGGACCAATCATCGCATCCAGGATCATCCAGGTCATCTAGACCGAAGGCGGCCTCATAAGGGGTGAACATACCAAACCCCTTTCTCTTTGTCTGCCGGCTCTGTGCCGCTCACTGTCGAGTCATACCAAACCCCGTTGTCTTCATCTGGCTGTAGGGTACCTGCAAAACAGATGTCAAGTCATGCCTAAAAAAAAAAGACGAAAAAAAAGGATCTCTTCTAAAGACCATTGCCGACACCCCTTCCTCACTCACTCTCAGAGTCTTACCTTCGGCCTTCCGAGAGTGCCCCCGCTCTCTGAAGGATCTCTTCTAAAGACCATTGCCGACACCCCTTCCTCACTCACTCTCAGAGCAAAGTCAGTCCTGATTCCTAGTCATGGCGGTCCGACCACCCTCTGAGCCCTTGCTCAGAACAGCTTACGGGGAGCCGCATACCCCTTCATGAAGCCCTCACTCCGATGAGTGCAGACCCATGGCGCGGAAGCTCTTTAGTCGACTTCAGAACCTCCGTCTACTCGCTCGACTTCTTTCTAACGCCCGGCTCTTGCTACTGTGCGGGGAGCCAGCCATTACCCAACCAGACACTGCTGGTGAGTCAGAGCGAGTCCACAATTAAGCTTTGCAACAGTGGGCTAGGAGGCCATAATGGCCCTGTTGCCAGCTGGGCTGTGGATACCTGGCTTGGCCCGATGCCAAGGGAATGCCCCTGGAGACACTGCTCCCGAGAGACACCCCGATCAGAGTGATAGTAGGAGTCCACCACCTTGATCAGCCAAATGTCGGATTTAAACTGGGAGAGGCTCAGGATGCCTCCTTCCTTTCTAGCAGGCGAACCAGATCACCATGTGATGACCTGAGGAACGACTAGCCTTTCGAGGGTCCGGAGTTATCTGCCACTATGGCTCAGACACTCCGTTGACCCAACTAGCCTCTGGACCTTGTGAGAACCTGCTTCAGGGAATCATCTCTTGCTCAAGAGGCGCAGTCGAAAACTCTCCGCCTCTTCATGAAGGACGCAAGTGCTGACACCGCAGGGGACGCCACTGTGGATAGACTCTCGCCGGGAAACCGTTGCGAGAGCCCAACGGCTGCAGTGGGAACACTCCTTCTAGCATGAAGAATGCAGCGAGCCTCAATCCGCTGCGATGCTGAGTGATCTTTGCCCGATCACATGATCGGACAGATCACTCCATCGATTATGACACATGACTGATTACCTATCCCTTTAGAGCTTGGTAGCGTTTAGCTGCGAAGACCCGTCTGGAGAGGAACCCCATCTCGACGATGCTGAGTCTCATGCCAAGGGAACACTTCACTAGGCTAAATGTCACCCTCCTTCAGAGATAGCTAATCAATTTGTGCCAGATGATGCTAGACAATCCTCCTTACGCAATCGTACTAGAAGGTTGCCCCATCAACTGAGCGCTGACTTATGAGAGGAAGAAAACAAATTTTACTTCATCCCACAGCCATTCATTTTATAAATGCCATTGAGACTAAATAAATACAATAAGAGGCAAGAACTGAAATCCCATAAACTGGTTCCCAATCCCCCAGGCATGTCCCAGGACTGACACATGACAAGCCAGTTACAATGCAATGAACTGAAATTTTAAAAGTTTAACTCACAATCAAACAAAACTGGGGCCAATCTGGGCCCGACAGACACATAAGTTCACAAATGAGCCGAGCCATCATAGGCTGCTCGTATCCAGCTCCGACATCCGAAATCATACCATAATCATAGCAGCCGACAGTCGACTGTTACTGGCGGCACACGGGCCACGTCCCAGCACATAATCATCATCGATAGTTGGCGGCTCAATGACCACGTCCCAACTCATAATCATCATCATCTGTAGCTGGCGGCAGCACTGTCCACATCCCAACTCATAATCATCGATAGCTGACGGCTCACTGGCCACATCCCAACAAATAATCATCATCATCTATAGCTGGCGGCAACACTGTCCGCATCCCAGCTCATAATCGTCATCAACGGAAGTTGGCGGTACACTGTGCACATCCCAGCATATAATCATCGGTGCTGGCGGCTCACTGACCACATCCCAGCAAATAATCATCATCATCTGTAGCTGGCGGCAACACTGTCCGCATCCGAGCTCAATCGTCATCAACTGAAGCTGGCGGCACACTGTCCACATCCCAGTATATAATCATCTGAAGTTGGCAGCACTCTCACCACGTCTCAACAAATGTTGAGGGCACATTGATCATTTCTCAGCATGTGTAGGCTGATGCTAGACGGCTCTCGGGCCTCGCCTCATCACTCTGCCCGAATTCGGAATCAAATCTGCATCTCTAAGTATGAATTTTCGGAGCCGGGAGCCGGATACTATAATATGGGATCTCGTACCATCCGTCTCTGCTAACTCATAGGCCTTGTCTTCAACCTCTCTGATGATCCTGAATGGTCCCATCCACCTGGCCTCCAATCTCTTGGTCCACTGTGTCTCGAGAGATGTATCATGTAGAAGTACAATATCTCCGACCTGAAGTCGTTCCTTCCTGATGTACCTCTTGTTGTTCCACCGTGTCTGATCAGATAATTTATTGTCTGACATCCTCTTTGTGGCCTCAATTATGGCTTCATCCACTTCCTTGATCTGCCTGATCCTCAGCCTCAGTAACTCCTCTGTGGAGTACGACTCGCTCTGTGCCTCATGGGTCCAGGTCTCAACCAGGTCTAGAATAGGAGAAGTAGCATATCTGCCATACCAGAGTGTAATGGGCGCATAACCTGTAGTCCGTTTGACAGTCATATTGTCAGTATAGACTGCCGACCTTAAGAAAGATGGCCAGTTCCTGGAGTCGCCTTGGCACCATTTTGATATAGCATCCTTTAGTGTTCTGTGACCTCTTTCCACTGGTGCATTAACCTGAGGATGATATGGTGTCACAAATCTGATCCTGACTCCAAGTCTGAACATGAGCCTCCTGACCATCTCGTTCTTGAACTCTGATCCCTAGCCAGGCACAAACTCACGTATAAAGGGGTACCTCAAGTAGATTTCCTCGATCCAATCTGCCACTCTCTTTGCAGTTTTCTTACGGATGTTTTTTGCTTCAACATAACCAGACATGTTATCTTTCATGTTCAATACATATTTCATTTCATCCTTACCAGGTGACATAGTAATTAGATCAAGGTGAACAGTACTGCCAGGTTCAATAAGAACAGTGGGGTATAAGGGTTCAATCAATCTCATAGATGACCTTTTCTCACAGGCTTCACATGACTTATAATATTTCATAACCATATCCCTTAGGCCATCCCAGTGATATAGTCGGGATACTTTATCGTATGTAGCATCAGCACCCCTATGACCCCCTGCTAGACCCTCATGCAGCGCGGTGATCACCGCTAGTTGCCTTTTCTTACCACACACTACTCTTAGTGGCGGCACTCCTTCCTTAGCATCTACAAAAATATGACCCCTACGCAACCTAAAGGTTCTCTTCGTTTTCTCATGGTAGAATTCATCCAACTGATTACCGCTCATTACCATACCGATCCTCTTATATTCCCCACCATACTCATCCTTCCTAAATCTCTCTTCAGCGTCCTTATCTTGCTCCTGGTCATCCGACTTTTCCTCTATCTCATTTAGCCTTCGCTCAGCCATCCTTGAACTCTCTGCCAACTCATGAGCTGCAACAACAGCTTGTTCTACCATCCCATACCATCCTTCCTCCTCATCCTCTTGAGTTAGGAGGTAGTGGATGTAAGGCTCTTCCTTTTCTCCCCAGCAGTCTTCCCTGCTCGTTGTTATGGTTGAGGCTGTATAACAACTGAGAGCTGGAGGTAATCCTTCATCATCGTCTTCCATAAGGAATTCGTCAACGAAGGGTGCCTCCTCAAGAGATTCATCATCTATTGATCCCCATTCTACGCGGCTCAGCCCATCGGCTCGATTCTTTTCAGTAGGTACCTTCTCTAAAACAAAATCATACGTCCATATGTGAGCTATCCACCTATTGACCGTAGCATCTACTTGTTAATGCCTCTTAACAACTCCGATTACCGTCGTGGAATCCATTCTTAGGATGAATCTCCGTCCCATAACATAGTGTCTAAACACCCTGAGACAGTGCAGAATTGCCAGGAGTTCCTTCCTGAACTAAATATAGTCCCTCTCAACCGAATTAAGGGTGCGACTCTCAAATCTAAGTGACCTTTCTTTACCATTCTCATCTCGCTGCACGAGCACTCCTCCTAATGCTATCGGGCCGCCGTCGGCTTCGATGATGAAGGGTTTCTCCTTTTCACCGTCGAAGTAGGGTACTCCTAATATGACCCCGCCATCTCTTAGCTTATCTTGAAGCACCCGCGCAGCCTTCTCTCTTTGGTCAGACCACTCTAAGCTAGCTCCTTGTCACACCATTTCTCTAAGGGGCTCGACTATCTTGGCAAACCCTGGGATGGAGATCCGCCAGAAGCTACAGACCCCTAGGAAACTTCTTACTTCCCTGACCGTTTTTAGAGGCATAGGCCAGTTCAGAAGTTTATCCACTTTCTTTGGATCGGGGCTCCTTCCTTCCAAGAAGCACCTAAAACCCAAGATCGTTACCTCCCTTTGGAACAGTAGTGATTTCGGCCCGCTGGCTGTTAGGCTGTATTTAGCCAACCTTTCTAGTACTTTCGCTACTCCCTACGCGTGTTCCTATACGAACTGCCTGACTTGACAATCCACTAAAGTCTCATCCTTTTCCTTTCGTCCTTTAGCTGGATTATCGTCAATGTATGGAAACGTAACCTATGGGCATATGTCCTCCATGACCTTCAGCATGTCCCGCTGGACGACCGCAACCCCATTCGTCCACCCTTGAGGCACCACACACATTTGTATGAGGCCTCTAGGTGTATGCATGGCGATCATAGGTCGAAAGGTCTATCGAAAATTGGTCATAGCCAGAGTACAAGTCTATTAGGGAGTAGATGCTCCTTCCGACAAAAGACTCGGCCAACAGATCCGCGTTGGGTAAACTACCCGCGTCGCGAACCGTTACCGAATTCAACTTTTGCAAGTTCTGTATCCAGCGCAGGCCACCACCCGGCTTCCAAAAGCAAAACCAGTGATTGGCGTAAGCTCCATCAGCTGGTTCCGCAACGTTGGAGGCGATCTTCTGGTTTATGTAATCCATTACCTCTTTTTCTTCCTTTTGGGCATATCTCGTGGGTCTGTCATTCCAAGGCGTGTGAGGAACGGTCCAGATCTTTACCATCTTGATCATGCCAACGTCCAGTCGTCCCCTCTCCTCATCATTAAAGGAAAAGGCACCACTGTACTTCTGACATAATTCATATATGAAATCCCTCTCAGCCGGCAGAAGGAAGTCATCGGCTCCTACCTTCATTATTTTGAACCTCTCTGGGTAATTTTCCCTCCTTCTAATGCAGCCTCTCATAATCTTTTAATTATCTTTCGTTCCTTCTCTAATGCCTCATTGTAATCTTTCTCTATCAAAACTGCCACCGGATTCATCTTAATGCCCTTGCGCTTATACTTCCTCTTATATCCAGTGACTATTTTCCTAAAAAATGACCAGTCGGAGAGAAGGTGAGCTGCATCGTGCCAACTTTGGCTGCCCTCACAACATCCTTGAATCCTTCCATCTTTCTCTTGTCGCCCAATTCCTTTTCTTTACCCTGGAGTTTGAGCATCTTCCCAATATCATTCACTCTAATCGTCGTCTTCTCACCTATAACTCCACTTTCTTTCAGTTTTGCTCCTACTTCCTCAATCAGCTTGTCAGATTCTCCATGCTTAAGAGAGTTAACACGTCGCTGATGACGAGGATGATGCCTATCACTTATCATAAAAGTGTAGCGGACCCACCAGGTGTGGTGCTCCACTAGTGACAGAGATGGAGATGGAGGAAGAAGGGGGAGCAAGATGGCACAACGCAGCTCCCCACGCAAAACTTCAACGCACGTATTCCAAAATGTGCAAGTGAGGAATGAGACTGAAAACAGACAATGGCTGGGGTATACCCTAGCGGACTGACGGGACTGGACTGGACTGGCTGGTACCGACAGAGGTACCAGCCTGGACTGGCCTACCCCGAATATAACACAGGCCTGTGAGAACAGGCCAAGGGGCTGGTCTCACAGGCCAACCCGAGGTCCGCTACATGATCCTCGGCCTGTGATGGATCGCCTACATACAAACATGCTTCCGCCAAGAAGCGGAACTCTACCAAAGAAAAGAAAAC